TGTCACGACAGGCGTGATGGAAACTGAACATTTGTGGGTAAACTTTCCAAATGTCGACAAAACAAAATATGCTAGACAAGGTGGGATCTTTTTGTGTTAGTAAAAATGTATTATGCAAGAAATGTCTGTGAAAACCCTTTTATGCGCAAATGTTGATATAATAACCATCATATCGAAGCAATGACATGTTGTGTGCTCCTCCCACTACGACTTGTCTGGAAAGCATGCAGTTTATTAGGCTACAGATGAAATACGTTCTGATGAACTTCACAAGGTGGTGAAAGTGCACGGTGACGAGCTTGATGCTCCTTTCCAATAGATACCGAGGGTCTTAATCTGCTGATATGATCATCGATGCTTGACTGCCACATGACAAATAAAAAATAATCTCACTCTTTTGTCTGCACTACGTCGTCACACACAGCCTTTTATCCCCAACAAGTCAATTTGATGGAAACACATCTCTGGTGGGAAAATGTGAATACTGTTTTTATGCTGATTTTAAAATATTAGCATGAAAATCAGTCCCCAATTGGATGGTAACCTAGCTAGAGTTAAAAAAAATAAAAAAAGTACACTGGAGAATTTGCTGTGTTATTTGTATTTGATTAAAAGTGTATTTCTTTAAACATAGCCCACACAATAGCTTTCAACATACCAGTATTGGGGTAAACTTTCTAATGAACTGCTGGTATAAATAATATAATATTAAAATGTAAAGTACACCAAATTATCCATTTATTTTTTCAAAGGTGGTTGCAATGCTGTGAAAAATAGTTATACTGCAATCGATATTCCCAAAGTTTAGCATGTCTTTGCATGGGGACTCTTATTTTGAAAAATCTGTGATTATGCTGCCAGCATAATATGCTGCTGCTGGGAGAACAGTAATCTGTCCACCCTCAGAGAACTACCCATAACCCCCCTGGCTGACAGACACGTGGTGAGGCTCAGCATAGAGGGAGTCGTCTTCTTGCCCACCCTCCTCCTGGAGAGTTGCAGGCTTTTGCTCCAGCCCTGCTCTAACACATATTTTTAAACCATGCAGAACCATACACCAAATCTGCAATCCTACTGGCACATGTTTTGCTTTACACTCAGATTGCAATTATATGACAAACATTTGCAAAAATCTCCACAACTAAAATATATTGTGTGCAAATGAAAAGCAACACTATTCAACAATTACCAATTGATCACTTTCACTCTTCACATGTGCAAACACTAATTACGTAAATGTTCACTTTGCAATCAGACCTTTAGTATGGATAAAAAGGCCACAGGTGAGTACTCCTGTGTTTGGAGAACAATGGAAGCAAACTTGGCAGAGAGAGGTGGAGGTAGAGGTGGAGGTGGAGGTGGAGGTGGAGGAGGTGGAGGTGGAGGTGGAGGTGGTAGAGGTAGAGGTAGAGGTAGAGGTAGAGGTAGAGGTAGAGGTAGAGGTAGAGGTAGAGGTGGAGGTGGAGGTGGAGGAAGACCAAGAACAAGGAGAGTAATCTCAGATGAAATTCGGGTGACTGTGGTGGACCATGTGGTTTGACCTTGAGGCTGTTTTTGTTTTTGTAGAACTGAAAGACGACCACCACGTGGTGGTAGAACGCATCTATTTACAGACCAACAGGAGGCTGCCATTGTGCAAATAGTAGTTGAAAATAATGCCATAAGACTGCGGGAAATCCAACAACAGATTATTGAAAACCCTACCATCTTCCATAACATCAGAGTGAGCTTATCAACCATAGCCTGCATCCTTAAGAAACACCATCTCTGGATGAAGCAAATCTACAGAGTCCCATTTGAAAGGAATTCCCAAAGAGTGAAGGAAAAACGGTATGAACATGTGCAAGTACAGTAAGTCATGTACAAGTATTAGACTCATTGATGTTGCCAGTGAACTTTACCATTCAGCAATTACAGTATTTACTGTCATTTCAGAGAATCATGGAGTTGGCTGCAAGTCCCATCCCCCCAGGAACTCATATTCATAGATGAGGCTGGATTCAATTTAGCGAAGATGAGGAGGAGAGGGAAATGTCACCGTATGCGCAGCTATGAGCCACAATGGGGTCCTCCACCGCCATGCCACTCTTGGACCATACAACACTGCCCATCTCCTTCATTTCCTGAACACATTACATGACAAACTTTTTCAGCCAGAGCAGAGAGGGGCCAGGTGATCCTGAGGAACAAATGTATGTTCTAATTTGGGACAACGTGTGTTTCCATTGGGCTGCTCACTGCTTCCACGACTATCCCAGGTTTACAATTCTCTATCATCTCCCACCATATTCCCCATTTCTCCACCTCACTGAGGAGTTGTTTTCAGCACGGCGGTGGAAGGTGTATGATCGCATGACCCTGTGAACGTATGGCCCTTCTCCAGGCAATGGAGGAGGCCTGTGGTGACATTCCAGCTGAGTCCTGTCGGGGGTGGATGAGTCATCCCAGAAGATATTTCCCCCGCTGTCTGGCCAAGGAGAATACCGCCTGTGATGTTGATGAATATCTGTGGCCGGAGCAAAACAACAGACATGACTGATTTTGTTTTTCGCAATGGAGTTTTTGTTTCTTGACTTATGATTTTGATTAGACTGTATTTTGACAGTTTCTTTATCTATTCCGTACAATTGATCTAACACACAGTACAGTAGTACAAATTGGAACATTTTTCTTCCTTTGTATATGAAAATATATTTACTGTATCTTTTTATTTTTACTTTATGTGTGCTTACAGTATGCTGTTTGACATGTATTGAGTCATGTTGAAATATAAAACCATCATTTTTGCATTTGTGTTCCTTTCTTGTTTGAGTACACACAAACAATATACAGTATAACAATAAAATCTTAGTCTTTACACTGAAACAGGTTCTGATAGTAGTGTTTTGAATATGTCACATTAGTGTGATCTCGGTTGTCACTAAGTTAGATTCATTTGATGTGTGTGTGTGTGTGTGTGTGTGTGTGTCTCATTTGTTTGCAGAGTTTCATTTTGAGCAGGGAGCACATGATTTTGATTGCTGTGTTTCATTTTGCAAGATGCTTTGTGTTTTGTTTTTTGAGTACCTGAGATATAGTTTTAGAAAACGTGTGTTAACAATTAGGAAAAACTGTAAAAGCTTTACATTTTCATTTTGTTGTCTCTACACTTGTCAACATAGACAATATAAAATATTTTTTTCAGAGACTACACAAAAATATAAACAGTTGGTGGTATATTCAGGGACTTAACTGTTTGACATAATTTGTGGCAGTAGATTTGAAAATAGAAGCTAAAACAAATCGTTCCATGAAGACTACTCAACCCCCTGTAAGGCCTTGAGAGCTTGACATCAAGAGTACCGTTTTCTCTCTCACACACACACACACACACACACACACACACACACACACACACACACACACACACACACACACACACACACACACACAAACGCTCGGAGCAGAGGTGGTGGTACAACAGCTGTGCGTCATCACTGACGAAAAGAACCCTGAAGCAGCTTTGGAGCCATAAATAAAAGATTTCCATTCTGTGATGTAAGTCTCCCGCTTCTACTCCTGTGGTTCACAGGGCTGCAGAGTTGATGCACACTAAACTTCTTCGGTGTGGTCCACCGGTCTCAGCCGTGCTGTGTGGAACCACTGGAGGGCCAGCTGATCAAAGAGCAGCTCAGGAGGCTGAGAGTCCACGAGCTAGAGCAACAACAACTGCTACTGCAACACATACTGTATACCCTGCCCTGATGAACAACACATACTGTATACCCTGCCCTGATGAACAACACATACTGTATACCCTGCCCTGATGAACAACACATACTGTATACCCTGCCCCGAGGAACAACACATACTGTATACCCTGCCCTGATGAACAACACATACTGTATACCCTGCCCCGAGGAACAACACATACTGTATACCCTGCCCTGAGGAACAACACATACTGTATACCTTGCCCTGAGGAACAACACATACTGTATACCCTGCCCTGAGGAACAACACATACTGTATACCCTGCCCTGAGGAACAACACATACTGTATACCCTGCCCACAAGGAACAACACATACTGTATACCCTGCCCTGAGGAACAACACATACTGTATACCCTGCCCTTATGAACAACACATACTGTATACCCTGCCCTGATGAACAACACATACTGTATACCCTGCCCCGAGGAACAACACATACTGTATACCCTGCCCGGAGGAACAACACATACTGTATACCCTGCCCCGAGGAACAACACATACTGTATACCCTGCCCACGAGGAACAACACATACTGTATACCCTGCCCCGAGGAACAACACATACTGTATACCCTGCCCTGATGAACAACACATACTGTATACCCTGCCCTGAGGAACAACACATACTGTATACCCTGCCCCGAGGAACAACACATACTGTATACCCTGCCCTGAGGAACAACACATACTGTATACCCTGCCCACAAGGAACAACACATACTGTATACCCTGCCCACAAGGAACAACACATACTGTATACCCTGCCCTGAGGAACAACACATACTGTATACCCTGCCCACGAGGAACAACACATACTGTATACCCTGCCCTGATGAACAACACATACTGTATACCCTGCCCCGAGGAACAACACATACTGTATACCCTGCCCCGAGGAACAACACATACTGTATACCCTGCCCCGAGGAACAACACATACTGTATACCCTGCCCCGAGGAACAACACATACTGTATACCCTGCCCCGAGGAACAACACATACTGTATACCCTGCCCCGAGGAACAACACATACTGTATACCCTGCCCCGAGGAACAACACATACTGAATACCCTGCCCCTGAGGAACAACACATACTGTATACCCTGCCCTGAGGAACAACACATACTGTATACCCTGCCCTGAGGAACAACACATACTGTATACCCTGCCCTGAGGAACAACACATACTGTATACCCTGCCCCGAGGAACAACACATACTGCATACCCTGCCCAGAGAAACAACACATGGAAGGTAACACACACGACAGAGAGACACACGTACATCCAGAGATTTACATTAAAGTCTGAAAAGCACTTGCCTCTTGGGCAAGTCAGGAGTATTTCATTAGTTGCCCGAAGATTATGATTACTTCCTCGAAAATTTCAATGAGCTTTTGACACGCAGAGTGCCATGTACAGCCTGCCTATCTCCTACACATACAGTTGAAGTCAGAAGTTTACATACACCTTAGCCAAATACATTTAAACTCAGTTTTTCACAATTCCTGACATTCAATCCTAATAAAAATGTCCTGTCTTAGGTCAGTTAGGATCACCACTTTATTTTAAGAATGTGAAATGTCAGAATAATAGTAGAGAGAATGATTTATTTCAGCTTTTATTTATTTCATCACATTCCCAGTGGGTCAGTAGTTTACATACACTCAATTAGTATTTGGTAGCATTGCCTTTAAATTGTTTAACTTGGGTCAAACGTTTCGGGTAGCCTTCCACAAGCTTCCCACAATAAGTTGGGTGAATTTTGGCCCATTTCTCCTGATAGAGCTGGTGTAACTGAGTCAGGTTTGTAGGCCTCCTTGCTCGCACACGCTTTTTCAGTTCTGCCCACACATTTTCTATAGGATTGAGGTCAGGTCTTTGTGATGGCCACTCCAATACCTTGACTTTGTTGTCCTTCAGCCATTTTTCCACAACTTTGGAAGTATGCTTGGGGTCATTGTCCATTTGGAAGACCCATTTGCGACCAAGCTTTAACCTCCTGACTGATGTCTTGAGATGTTGCTTCAATATATCCACATAATTTTCCTTCCTCATGATGCCATATATTTTGTGAAGTGCACCAGTCCCTCCTGCAGCAAAGCACCCCCACAGCATGATGCTGCAACCCCTGTTATTCACGGTTTCCTCGAAACATAACGATGGTCATTATGGCCAAACAGTTCTATTTTTGTTTCATCAGACCAGAGGACATTTCTCCAGAAAGTACGATCTTTGTCCCCATGTGCAGTTGCAAACCGTAGTCTGGCTTTTTTATGGCGGTTTTGGAGCAGTGGCTTCTTCCTTGCTGAGCGGCCTTTCAGGTTATGTCGATATAGGACTTGTTTTACTGTGGTTATAGATACTTTTGTACCTGTTTCCTCCAGCATCTTCACAAGGTCCTTTGCTGTTGTTCTGGGATTGATTTGCACTTTTCGCACCAAAGTACATTAATCTCTAGGAGACAGAATGCGTCTCCTTCCTGAGCGGAATGACGGCTGCGTGGTCCCATGGTGTTTATACTTGCGTACTATTGTTTGTACAGATGAACGTGGTACCTTCAGGCGTTTGGAAATTTCTCCCAAGGATGAACCAGACTTGTGGAGGTCTACAATTTTTCTTTCTGAGGTCTTGGCTGATTTCTTTTGATTTTCCCATGATGTCAAGCAAAGAGGCACTGAGTTTTAAGGTAGGCCTTAAAATACATCCACAGGTACACCTCCAATTGACTCAAATGATGTCAATTAGCCTATCAGAAGCTTCTAAAGTCATGACATCGTTTTCTGGAATTTTCCAAGCTGTTTAAAGGCACAGTCAAATTAGTGTATGTAAACTTCTGACCCACTGGAATTGTGATACAGTGAATTATAAGTGAAATAATCTGTCTGTAAACAATTGTTGGAAAAATTATTTGTGTCATGCACAAAGTAGATGTCCTAACCAACGTGCCAAAACTATAGTTTGTTAACAAGAAATTTGCGGAGTGGTTGAAAATCGAGTTTTAATGACTCCAACCTAAGTGTATGTAAACTTCCAACTTCAACTGTAGGGCAGGAATCGGAAAGATCAGTACTGGAATTCTTTGTATTTTATTTATTTATTATTAGTTTAAAGAAATCTCAGAGCAAGCTCAACTTGCCCGACTGCCTTAAATTGTCTGTCTTTTACTTAGATAATGTGAAGGAAAAAAATCACGAACCCACATCTGCTGATGCTCCAGATACTCAACTAGTCTCAAGAAGGCCAGTTGTATTGCTTCTTTAATCAGCACAACAGTTTTCAGCTGTAATAACATAATTGCAAAAGGGTTTTCTAATGCTCAATTAGCCTTCTAAAATGATAAACTTGGATTAGCAAACACAACGTGCCATTGGAACACAGGACTGATGGTTGCTGATAATGGGCCTCTGTACGCCTATGTAGATATTCCATTAAAAATCAGCCGTTTCCAGCAACAATAGCCATTCACAACATTAACAATGTAAAGTTACTGCTGCTCTCCCCTATAGTAACTATAGTATAGTACATCATTAACCATGCCAGTACAGTTAATCTTGAATACAGTGGGGAAAAATGTATTTAGTCAGCCACCAATTGTGCAAGTTCTCCCACTTAAAAAGATGAGAGAGGCCTGTAATTTTCATCATAGGTATACGTCAGCTATGACAGACAAAATGAGAAAAAATTATCCAGAAAATCACATTGTAGGATTTTTTATGAATTTATTTGCAAATTATGGTGGAAAATAAGTATTTGGTCAATAACAAAAGTTTCTCAATACTTTGTTATATACCCTTTGTTGGCAATGACACAGGTCAAACGTTTTCTGTAAGTCTTCACAAGGTTTTCACACACTGTTGCTGGTATTTTGGCCCATTCCTCCATGCATATATCCTCTAGAGCAGTGATGTTTTGGGGCTGTCGCTGAGCAACACGGACTTTCAACTCCCTCCAAAGATTTTCTATGGGGTTGAGATCTGGAGACTGGCTAGGCCACTCTAGGACCTTGAAATGCTTCTTACGAAGCCACTCCTTCGTTGCCCGGGCGGTGAGTTTGGGATCATTGTCATGCTGAAAGACCCAGCCACGTTTCATCTTCAATGCCCTTGCTGATGGAAGGAGGTTTTCACTCAAAATCTCACGATACATGGCCCCATTCATTCTTTCCTTTACACGGATCAGTCGTCCTGGTCCCTTTGCAGAAAAACAGCCCCAAAGCATGATGTTTCCACCCCCATGCTTCACAGTAGGTATGGTGTTCTTTGGATGCAACTCAGCATTCTTTGTCCTCCAAACACGACGAGTTGAGTTTTTACCAAAAAGTTCTATTTTGGTTTCATCTGACCATATGACATTCTCCCAATCCTCTTCTGGATCATCCAAATGCACTCTAGCAAACTTCAGACGGGCCTGGACATGTACTGGCTTAAGCAGGGGGACACGTCTGGCACTGCAGGATTTGAGTCCCTGGCGGCGTAGTGTGTTACTGATGGTAGGCTTTGTTACTTTGGTCCCAGCTCTCTGCAGGTCATTCACTAGGTCCCCCCGTGTGGTTCTGGGATTTTTGCTCACCGTTCTTGTGATCATTTTGACCCCACGTGGTGAGATCTTGCGTGGAGCCCCAGATCGAGGGAGATTATCAGTGGTCTTGTATGTCTTCCAATTTCCTAAACAATTGCTCCCAACAGTGGATTTCTTCAAAAACCAAGCTGACTTACCTTATTGTAAGATTCAGTCTTCCCAGCTGGGTGCAGGTCTACAATTTTGTTTCGGTGTCCTGTGACAGCTCTTTGGTCTTAGGCCATAGTTGGGGTTGGTGATGTGTGACTGTTTGAGGTTGGTGGACAGGTTGTACTTTTATCTGATAACAAGTTCAAACAGGGTGACATTAATACCGGTTGGTAAGGTGGAGGACAGAGGGAGCCTCTAAAGAAGAAGTTACAGGTCTGTGAGAGCCAGAAATCTTGCTTGTTTTAGGTGACCAAACTTACTTTTTTTTTTTACCACCATTAATTTGCAAATAAATTCATTAAAAATTCCGGGAAGGGGGTTTTGGGGAGGGGGGGGGGGGGGGTTTGGGGGTTTTTTGAAGTGTTTTTCCCGTGTTTTTGGGTTTTTTTCCCCCCGGGGTGAACCCCCAATTTTTTTTTCCTTTTACACCTTTTTCCCCAAAAAAAAAAAAACTTTTAAAATTTTTTTTTAAAAAAAGCAAACGGGGGATTTTGGTGGGGGGGAGGATCTTGGGTTGGTTGGGGGGCCGCTGTTTTTGGGTCCAATTTATTTTTTTGTTTTTCAAAAACCAAAAAAACCCAAAAAAAAAACCAAAAAAAACACCAGAAAAAACCCCCCCAAAAAAAGGGGGAAAAATCCCAAGGGGGCAAAAAACAAAAAAAAAGGAAAAACATTTTTTCCCAAACCCAAACAAAACAAAACCAAAAAAACCACCAAAAAACATTTTACAAATTTTTTTTTACAACCCCCCCAAAAAAAACCCAAAACCCCCCCCCCCTTTCCCCCCCCAAAAAAACCCCCCCCACCCCATATATATATATATATATATATATATACAAAAGGGATGTAACCCTTTTAAGAGCGAGGTGTAACCTCTACACAATACGAGACCCATAAACAACAAGAGCACAATACATGGTACTCACGAGACCAACGGACATGGGTGTGATGAGTGTGATGGAAGGAGTCAGGCGCAGGAGGGTAATCACCGAATACAGAGTTTATTCCTTCGTTACACAAAATACGCTGGAAATAGCGACAAACGAAACAGGCACAGGGAAAACTCTCTACCCTGGCAATACACTGTAACGGTATCTCCATACAATTCATAGGCACAGGGGAAATATCTACCCTGGCAACAAAATGGTATGAGTAGCTCCACCGAGCTACGCTACTCTCACATACAAACAATGACTCACAAGGACAAGGCGGCAGAGGGAACACTTATACACGGACTAATGAGGGGATTAGAACCAGGTGTGTGGGATTGACAAGACAAGACAAATGTGATTATGATAATTGGGGCGGCAGTGGTTAGTAAGCCGGTGACGACGAATGCCAAAGCCTGCCCGAACAAGGAGGGGAGGCAGCCTCGGTGGAAGTTGTGACAGTACCCCCCCCCCCCCCCCTTGATGCGCAGCTCCAGCAGCACGCCTACCCCGGCCTCGGGAACAGCCAGGAGGACGCGGAGCAGGGCGAGCCGGATGGCGACGGTGGAAATCCCGCCACAGGGAGGGATCGAGGATATCCCTCACCGGGACCCAGCACCGTTCTTCCGGACCGTACCCCTCCCACTCCACGAGGTACTGAAGGCCCCCCACCCGACGTCTCGAATCCAGGATGGAGCGCCGGGGCCCCCTCAATGTCCAGAAGAGGTGGAGGAACCTCCCGTACCTCAGACTCCTGGAGCGGACCAAACACCACCGGCCTGAGGAGAGACACATGAAACGAGGGGTTAATACGGTAATCAGGGAGAGTAACAACCTATAAGTGACCTCGTTTATCCTCCTCAGGACTTTGAACGGCCCCACAAACCGCGGGCTCAGCTTCCGGCAGGGCAGGCGGAGGGCCAGATTCCGGGTCGAGAGCCAGACCCGATCCCCCGCTACGAAGACTGGGGCCTCACTGCGGTGATGGTCAGCGTTGGGCTTCTGACGACACACGGCACGCTGGAGCCTCGGTCTGGCTCTGGTGCCACGGTGCCAGAACCTGTTGGTAACCTAAAATACATTGGAAAGGTGTTAGGTTAGTAGAGGAGTGGCGGAGAGAGTTCTGGGCATATTCTGCCCATGGCAAGAATACCGACCACTCGTTGTGGAACTGGTAAAGGTTGTAACTTACCCGCTGGGAGGTGCCTAGGTGCTTTACTCTGGGCGCACACCGAGCAGGAGGAGACGTACACCCTCACGTCCTTAGCCAAGGTAGGCCACCAGTACCTTCCGATCAAGCAGCGCACTGTACGACCGATACCTGGGTGACCAGAGGAGGGTGATGTGTGTGCCCAGAAGATCAGACGATCACGGATAAGAGCAGGCACGTACCGCAGTCCAGCTGGACACTGAGGTGGAGATGGATCTGTGCGTAATGCCTGCTCTATATCTGCGTCCATCGCCCATACTACCGGCGCCACGATGCAGGAGGCCGGGAGTATGGGGGTGTTGTCTCTGGGCCTCTCCTCTGTGTCATACAGCCGGGACAGTGCGTCTGCCTTCACGTTCTTCGCACCCGGAATGTATGATAGTGTAAAATCAAACCAGGTGAAGAATAGGGCCCACCTGGCCTGGCGAGGATTCAGCCTCCTCACTGCCCAGATGTACTCCAGGTTACGGTGGTCCATCCAGACGAGGAAAGGGTGTTTCACCCCTTCGAGCCAATGCCTCCACATGGTCAAAGCTCGGACAACAGCCAACAGCTCCTGATCACCAGCGTTGAAGTTCTGCTCCACCGGCCTGAGCTTCTTAGAGAAGAAGGCACAGGGGCGGAGCTTGGGTGGGCGTGCCCGAGCGTTGGGACAGGACAGTGCCTATCCCTACTCGGACGCATCCACCTCCACTACGAACGGTAGTGATGGATCGGGGTGGGCCAGTACCGGGGCTGAGGTGAACAGACCCCGCAGTCTCCTGAAGGCCAGGTCAGCCTCAGCAGACCAGCGGAGCCAGGATGGCCCACCCTTCAACAGGGATGTAATGGGATCTGTGACCTTGCCAAAGCCCCGGATAAACCTCTGATAGTAGTTGGCAAAGCAAAGGAAGTGCTCACCTCCTTAACTGTGGTTGGAGTCGGCCAATTACGCACGGCTGAAATGCGATCTCCCTCCATCTCCACACATGAGGTGGTAATGCGGTATCCAAGGAAGGAGACGGACTGCTGGAAAAACATATACTTCTCTGCCTTGGCATCAAGGTCATTTTCCAATGGTCGGGCCAGCACTTTGCCAACCAGGGACACATGCTCGGCGCACGTAGCGGAATACACTAGGATGTCATCGATGTAGACCACCACACCATGACCAAGCATGTCCCGAAAGACCTCATTCACAAAAGACTGGAAGACGGATGGAGCATTCATCAAACCGTAGGGCATCACCAGGTATTCATAATGCCCCGTGGTTGTGCTGAATGCTGTCTTCCACTCATCCCCCTCCCGAACACGCACCAGGTTGTATGCACTCCTGAGATCTAGCTTAGTGAAGAAGCGCGCCCCATGCATTGACTCAATCACTGAAGGAATGAGGGGGAGATGATAACTACATCTTATCGTCTCCTTGTTCAGTGATCGATAATCAATGCACGGGCGCAGACCGCCGTCTTTCTTCTTCACAAAGAAGAAACTTGAGGAGGCGGGTGAAATGGAGGGACGTATATACCCCTGGCCCAGGGACTCGGTGACGTATGTTTCCATAGCCTCTGTTTCAGCCTGCGACAGGGGGTACACATGACTCCTGGAAGGTACTGCGTCTACCCGAAGGTTTATCGCGCAATCCCCCGCCCGTTGAGGTGGTAATTTTGTCGCCTGCGTCTTAGAAAACGCGTGCGCCAGATCGAGGTATTCGGGGGGAATGCGCATGGTGGAGGTACCGTCTGGACTTTCCACCGTGGTTGCACCAACGGAAACACCTAGACACCTAATCTGACACTCTCGCGACCACCCCGTGAGAACCTTCTGCGGCCATGAGAAGGTGGGGTTGTGGAGTGCTAGCCAAGGGATACATAATACCACAGGGAAAGCAGGAGACTCAATAATAGAAAAAATTACCTGCTCACAATGTGTCTCCTGGGTGATCATGGTGACTGGTATAGTGACTTCCGTAACAAACCCAGACCCTAATGGTCGACTATCAAGCGCTCTGATGGGGAGTGGAATGGATAGGGGAACCAATGAAATGCCTTGACAGCATGTGAATCCCCTGTCCATAAAGTTCCCAGCTGCGCCTGAATTGACTAGCGCCTTACACTGGGGAACTTCCATGTGATCGGGAAAGTGGATAGGTAGGGTACAGTGTGCAGCAGAGGGCTCTGAACAAGTGTGGGTGTTCGATACCTGGGGTGATGCGAGAGTGCCCTGCCTGCCGCCTCCAGGTCCAAAAGAGCGTTGACGACGACGTGTGGTGTACTGTCCCTTCGTGCCACCAGTGTGGCACTGTCGCTGTCTTCCTCCGCTCTCTCGGACGGCGGCTCCACCCAGCTCCATCAGCTTGGGATCCGAGTCGTCCGGGGTGGAAACGGGCAGACCCCTACCAGGACGTCCTCTGGCTGCCAGCAGGTTGTCCAAATGAATGGCCATGTCCACCAGTCTCGTGAAGGACAACATGGTGTCCCGGCAGGCTAGCTCCCGTCAGACGTCCTCCCGCAGATGGCACCGGAAATGGTCAATCAGGGCCCGCTCGTTCCACCCGGACCCCGCTGCCAGAGTCCGAAACTCCAATGCGAAGTCTTGCGCGGTCCTCGTCCCCTGCCTCAGGTGGACCAGCTGCTCGCACGCATCTCGACCCTCGGGCGGGTGATCGAAGACCGCCCGGAAGAGGCGAGCGAACTCCCCGTAGTCCTCCAACGCGTCTCCTCCTTCGTTCCACCCCGCGTTGGCCCACTCCAGGGCTTTCCCCGAGAGGCAGGAAACGAGGACGGACACCTTCTCCCGCTCCGATGGGGCCGGCCTGATGCTGGAGAAGTAGAGCTCCAGTTGGAGGAGGAATCCTTGGCAGAGCGCCGCCGCCCCGTCGAACGCCTGTGGTCGGGATATCTGGATCCCTCCGGGTGCTGGGGTGTAGGTGGCTGGATCCGGTTGACCAGCTGGTCTCGACAGATCGGGTCCTGTCCTCTCCAGGCGTTGGATGACCTGAAGAACCCGATCCATCGCTTCCCCCAAGCTGGCCAGCATCGTGGAATGCTCCTGGACTTTGTTGTGTGTGAGAAACTGACCACTCCTCTCATCTTTCTCTGTTCTCTGTTCTCTGTTCTCTGTCCTCTTTCGCTGTCCTCTGTCCTCTGTCCTCTGTCCTCTGTCCTCTGTCCTCTGTCCTCTGTCCTCTGTCCTCTGTCCTCTGTCCTCTTTCTCTGTCCTCTGTCCTCTGTCCTCTGTCCTCTTTCTCTGTTCTCTGTCCTCTGTTCTCTGTTGTCATGACTATCCCTGGGTGAGGATCAAAGGCCTCATATCAGCTTGGCAAATGGCCGACAACAACCAGATCCTCTTACCCACAGGGGGGGGCTGTGCCGGTCTTGACACCTTAATACTGCCATTAATTAGACATAGGAGAATCTATCTCTGGCCCTCTAGAATGGTGAAAGGAATGTCCTTTGTTTCAGAGACTTTTGCCGCCCAAAAACTTCAACATCCAACAATGAACATTGGGACAATATATTTAAACATCCAAACATTGGGAATGATGAGAAATGGAATATTGAAAATGTATGTAAAGGCGTTATAACGAAAACATTGTGACTTGAAGAGCTTTTCCACTGTGTATATCAGATTTACATCATTTACCTTGTGTAGAAAATATCAAGGAGGAAGACAATGTTTTGGTGAAGATAGGAATGTGATTTTAGCTTTCTAACAAAATCATAGTGATAATAATACTTTTGCCTCGTAACTAGCCACGCCCGAGGGAGCTCAGAGAGTGTGTCAGTATGACGGAAACGCCCCTCTTTACCAGAGTCTATAAAAGATTGACATAAGAATAATCAGATCAGACTAGACGGACCTCAAGCTGCAGCTGTTGTCCATATTGGTCCCGACCCTGAAAATCAACACGAGGTGAAGACGACAAAGTTGCCTCCACTAACAATCAATGTTACGGCTGAGTAGCTGTTCTAAGTACTGTATCTAAGAAGGTGAATTGAAGTGGGACCATCCTGTTACTCTCTTCAAACCATCGTCTACTACACTGCTCTCATCACCCCACAGGGGATCATCGACACGGCTGATTAGCCGTCCTCAGAAGACCACTTCCAGAACGAGTGAAAGTAAACAGAAGACTAAGAAGAAGGACATTGTGACCTCTTGTGGACAATCGGAGCCTTACATCTAAAAGGCCATCCGAAAGAGAAGACCCAATAGAACCCTTCCCACGAAGGCCTGGGTCCAACAGAGACGACGAAGACAAACACGTAAATACATGCATTACTTCTTACCAAACGGGCGGCAGTTCTGGGTAGTATTAGTATTATAGTCCCGTGTAGCTCAGTTGGTATAGCATGGCGTTTGCAACGCCAGGGTTGTGGGTTCGATTCCCATGGGGGACCAGTATGAAAATGTATGCACTCACTAACTGTAAATCCCTCTGGATAAGAGCGTCTGCTAAATGACTAAAATGTATAATATTAGGATTACTATGAGCGTAGGTCCATGTGTATCCGAGTGTTTTTCTCTCGCAATCTTTTGAAACAAGTGCCATATTGTGTTAGTCCGCTAGGGACCCATTTTCATTGTATTAAGTTTCTAATCCCTACCTATACCGTCTAAGTGTTTCTATCTTGTGTTATCATTTTTAATTAGTTAGTAAATAAATAATTACATCAATTTTTGTGGTACGGAATGATCAGTAAGACCCGGGTTCGTGCAGACTTAAAGAGTCAACGACTTTCAGAATGAGACTGATATGAGGTACATTATTAATAAATGACTGTTAAATGATAAGAGATATCTAGATATCTTTAGAGTTAATTCGGGAAATGGTAACTCGTTAAACAACTTTTCCCGTGGTGCGCCAAATTCCTAATGAGTTAATTGTTACATGATAAATGTAATCTAGTAACAATTAAACATACTAGGTAATTATTCGATAAATAATAGTCACCACAATAATGAAAGTCACGTCACGACACTGTCCTCTGTCCTCTTTCTCTGTCCTCTTTCTCTGTCCTCTTTCTCTGTTCTCTGTCCTCTGTTCTCTGTCCTCTGTTCTCTGTCCTCTGTTCTCTGTTATCTGTTCTCTGTCCTATGTCCTCTTTCTCTGTTCTCTGTTCTCTATTCTCTATTCTCTGTTCTCTGTCCTCTGTCCTCTTTCCTTTGTTCTCTCTCTCTCTCTCTCTCTCTCTCTCTCTCTCTCTCTCTCTTTCTCTCTCTCTCTCTCTCTCTCTCTCTCTCTCTCTCTCTCTCTCTCTCTCTCTCTCTCTCTCTCTCTTTCTTTCTCCAGGTGTGGACTGGGTGTTGCTGAGTGGTTGTTATGTGTAGATGGATGGAGAGATCTGTTCATCAGGCGGGGAGTCGGAGAGAGACTCATACTGAGGAAAGAGAGAGGCACTCTCCCTGCTAAATAACTGGTGAGGAGGGAGGACTGGAGAGAGGTACTATCACTGCTAAATAACTGGTGAGAAGGGAGGACTGACGAGATGCACTCTCACTGGTGAAGAACTGGTGAGAAGGGAGGACTGACGAGATGCACTCTCACTGGTGAAGAACTGGTGAGAAGGGAGGACTGACGAGATGCACTCTCACTGGTGAAGAACTGGTGAGGAGGGAGGACTGGTGAGTGGGATAAATGGAGAGATGGAGGAGTGGACACCCCTATGAACACAGGACGTACAGTGAGGGAAAAAAGTATTTGATCCCCTGCTGATTTTGTAAGTTTGCCCACTGACAAAGACATGATCAGTCCATAATTTTAATGGTAGGTTTATTTGAACGGTGAGAGACAGAATAACAACAAACAAATCCAGAAAAACACATGTCAAAAATGTTAAAAATTGATTTTCATTTTAATGAGGGAAATAAGTATTTGGCCACCAGGTTTGCACACATCTCAGGAGGGATTTTGTTCCACTCCTCTTTGCAGATCTTCTCCAAGTCATTAAGGTTTCGAGGCTGACGTTTGGCAACTCGAACCTTCAGCTCCCTCCACAGATTTTCTATGGGATTAAAGTCTGGAAACTGGCTAGGCCACTCCAGGACCTTAATGTGCTTCTTCTTGAGCCACTTCTTTGTTGCCTTGGCCGTGTTATGGGTCATTGTCATGCTGGAATACCCATCCACAACCCATTTTCAATGCCCTGGCTGAGGGAAGGAGGTTCTCACCCAAGATATGACGGTACATGGCCCCATCTATCGTCCCTTTGATGCGGTGAAGTTGTCCTGTCCCCTTAGCAGAAAAACACCCCCAAAGCATAATGTTTACACCTCCATGTTTGACGGTGGGGATGGTGTTCTTGGGGTTATAGGCAGCATTCCTCCTCCTCCAAACACGGCGAGTTGAGTAGATGCCAAAGAGCTCGATTTTGGTCTCATCTGACCACAACACTTTCACCCATTTCTCCTCTGAATCATTCAGATGTTCATTGGCAAACTTCAGACGGCCCTGTATATGTGCTTTCTTGAGCAGGGGGACCTTGCGGGCGCTGCAGGATTTCAGTCCTTCACAGCGTAGTGTGTTACCAATTGTTTTCTTGGTGACTATGGTCCCAGCTGCCTTGGGATCATTGACAAGATCCTCCCATGTAGTTCTGGGCTGATTCCTCACCGTTCTCATGATCATTGCAACTCCACAAGGTGAGATCTTGCATGGAGCCCCAGGCCGAGGGAGATTGACAGGTCTTTTGTGTTTCTTCCATTTGCGAATGATCGCACCAACTGTTGTCACCTTCTCACCAAGCTGCTTGGCGATGGTCTTGTAGCCCATTCCAGCCTTGTGTAGGTCTACAATCCTGTCACTGACATCCTTGGAGAGCTCTTTGGTCTTGGCCTTGGTGGAGAGTTTGGAATCTGATTGATTGATTGCTTCTGTGGACAGGTGTCTTTTATACAGGTAACAAGCTGAGATTAGGAGCACTCCCTTTAAGAGTGTGCTCCTAATCTCAGCTCGTTACCTGTATAAAAGACAGCTGGGAGACAGAAATCTTTCTGATTGAGAGGGGGTCAAATACTTATTTCCCTCATTAAAATGCAAATCATTTTATAACATTTTTGACTTGCGTTTTCTGGATTTTTTTTGTTGTTATTCTGTCTCTCACTGTTCAAATAAACCTACCATTAAAAATTATAGACTGATAATTTCTTTGTCAGTGGGCAAAAGTACAAAATCAACAGGGGATCAAATACTTTTTTCCCTCACTGTATAAGTTAAAAGATTTAGTGTTAACTGACACAATATTGACTGGTTGCCTAGTGACCTTGAGCCGGTTAGAATCCACCAGAATGTCTGGGTGGTATTTACCAGTACATCAGAGGTCCTGTTTGTGATGTGATGACTGGCTAGGGGCTAAGGCTAGAATAGTCTATGGATGATAAACCGATTCCACACATAGTGCTCTGGTCAAAAGTATCATATGGACAGGATGTCATTGAGACACGCATCAGCAGCAATGACTATTGACTAAGGCTAAAGTAATCTATGAACGCCTTAGAGATGAACATAACATAGGACTGTTTCCAAGGCATGATTGATCTTCCCATGCTTAATGGATGGACATGCCTCAGAGGTGACTGATGTAAATCACTCTTGTAGGCGATGGATTAATAATGTCTGTTTTAGATCCTGGGGAGGAAACAAATCTTCAATGGTATTCATCAGTGAGTCATTTCAAAGCGTCATCATTCTTATGTGGTGAAATCTATTTAATGATTTCGTCTGGTGCAACCCAGCCCCCCCAAACACAACTACCTACCTCCTCTGTTTTGGCCGAGTCACTCACAGGTCCACATATCTGAGATTGACTATCTCTCTTCTCTCTCTTTACCTCTATCCCCTGTCCTTGTTTCTCTCTCTCCCCTCCATTTTCCCCTCTCGCCCAGGCCTCCAGTCCGTGGGCCATGGAGAGTTGTGGCCGTGAGGAGCAGGCAGGGCCGGAGGACCAGAGGAGGTCCTACCCCAGCAAAGAGCTCCTCTCACTGGTCACGGCTCAGCTGCCTGATCCTGTCCTCGTGGAGCAGGGACAAACCCTAATGGAGCTACTGAAGACCAACTGGAACACTGGGTAGCACTCCTCTCCTCCTCTGTCACACTGGACAACTGGGTAACACTCCTCTCCTCCTCTGTCACACTGGACAACTGGGTAACTCAGTCCTCTCCTCCTCTGTCACACTGGAACACTGGGTAACTCAGTCCTCTCCTCCTCTGTCACACTGGAACACTGGGTAACACTCCTCTCCTCCTCTGTCACACTGGAACACTGGGTAACTCAGTCCTCTCCTCCTCTGTCACACTGGACAACTGGGTAACTCAGTCCTCTCCTCCTCTGTCACACTGGAACACTGGGTAACTCAGTCCTCTCCTCCTCTGTCACACTGGAACACTGGGTAACACTCCTCTCCTCCTCTGTCACACTGGAACACTGGGTAACTCAGTCCTCTCCTCCTCTGTCACAATGGAACACTGGGTAACTCAGTCCTCTCCTCCTCTGTCACACTGGAACACTGGGTAGCACTCCTCTCCTCCTCTGTCACACTGGAACACTGGGTAACTCAGTCCTCTCCTCCTCTGTCAAACTGGAACACTGGGTAGCACTCCTCTCCTCCTCTTTCACACTGGACAACTGGGTAACTCAGTCCTCTCCTCCTCTGTCACACTGGAACACTGGGTAACACTCCTCTCCTCCTCTGTCACACTGGAACACTGGGTAACACTCCTCTCCTCCTCTGTCACACTGGAACACTGGGTAATTCAGTCCTCTCCTTCTCTGTCACACTGGAACACTGGGTAACTCAGTCCTCTCCTCCTCTGTCACATTGGAACACTGGGTAACTCAGTCCCCTCCTCCTCTGTCACACTGGAACACTGGGTAACTCAGTCCTCTCCTTCTCTGTCACACTGGAACACTGGGTAACTCAGTCCTCTCCTTCTCTGTCACACTGGAACACTGGGTAACACTCCTCTCCGCCTCTGTCACACTGGAACACCGGGTAACTCAGTCCTCTCCTCCTCTGTCACACTGGAACACTGGGTAACACTCATCTCCTCCTCTGTCACACTGGAACACTGGGTAACTCAGTCCTCTCCTCCTCTGTCACACTGGAACACTGGGTAACTCAGTCCTCTCCTTCTCTGTCACACTGGAACACTGGGTAACACTCCTCTCCGCCTCTGTCACACTGGAACACCGGGTAACTCAGTCCTCTCCTCCTCTGTCACACTGGAACACTGGGTAATTCAGTCCTCTCCTTCTCTGTCACACTGGAACACTGGGTAACTCTCATCTCCTCCTCTGTCACACTGGAACACTGGGTAACTCAGTCCTCTCCTCCTCTGTCACACTGGAACACTGGGTAACTCAGTCCTCTCCTCCTCTGTCACACTGGAACACTGGGTACCTCAGTCCTCTCCTCTTCTGTCACACTGGAACACTGGGTAACACTCCTCTACTCCTCTGTCACACTGGAACACTGGGTAGCACTGCTCTCCTCCTCTGTCACACTGGAACACTGGGTAACTCAGTCCTCTCCTCCTCTGTCACACTGGAACACTGGGTAACTCAGTCCTCTCCTCCTCTGTCACACTGGAACACTGGGTAACACTCCTCTCCTCCTCTGTCACACTGGAACACTGGGTAACTCAGTCCTCTCCTCCTCTGTCACACTGGAACACTGGGTAACTCAGTCCCCTCCTCTGTCACACTGGAACACTGGGTAACACTCCTCTCCTCCTCTGTCACACTGGAACACTGGGTAACTCAGTCCTCTCCTCCTCTGTCACACTGGAACACTGGGTAACTCAGTCCCCTCCTCTGTCACACTGGAACACTGGGTAACTCAGTCCCCTCCTCTGTCACACTGGAACACTGGGTAACACTCCTCTCCTCCTCTGTCACACTGGAACACTGGGTAACTCAGTCCTCTCCTCCTCTGTCACACTGGAACACTGGGTAACTCAGTCCCCTCCTCTGTCACACTGGAACACTGGGTAACACTCCTCTCCTCCTCTGTCACACTGGAACACTGGGTAACACTCCTCTCCTCCTCTGTCACACTGGAACACTGGGTAACTTAGTCCTCTCCTCCTCTGTCACACTGGAACACTGGGTAGCACTCCTCTCCTCCTCTGTCACACTGGAACACTGGGTAACTCAGTCCTCTCCTCCTCTGTCACACTGGAACACTGGGTAGCACTCCTCTCCTCCTCTGTCACACTGGAACACTGGGTAACTCAGTCCTCTCCTCCTCTGTCACACTGGAACACTGGGTAACACTCCTCTCCTCCTCTGTCACACTGGAACACTGGGTAACTCAGTCCTCTCCTCCTCTGTCACACTGGAACACTGGGTAACTCAGTCCTCTCCTCCTCTGTCAAACTGGAACACTGGGTAACTCAGTCCTCTCCTCCTCTGTCACACTGGAACACTGGGTAACTCAGTCCTCTCCTCCTCTGTCAAACTGGAACACTGGGTAACTCAGTCCTCTCCTCCTCTGTCACAATGGAACACTGGGTAGCACTCCTCTCCTCCTCTGTCAAACTGGAACACTGGGTAACTCAGTCCTCTCCTCCTCTGTCACACTGGAACACTGGGTAACTCAGTCCTCTCCTCCTCTGTCACACTGGAACACTGGGTAACACTCCTCTCCTCCTCTGTCACACTGGAACACTGGGTAACTCAGTCCTCTCCTCCTCTGTCACACTGGAACACTGGGTAACACTCCTCTCCTCCTCTGTCACACTGGAACACTGGGTAACTCAGT